CCTTCCTTCCTTCCTTCCTTCCTTCCTTCCTTCCTTCCTTCCTTCCTCCTTCTTTCCTTCTTCCCTTCCTTCTTTCCTCCCTCTCTTCCTTCCTTTTTCTAATAGATTTTTTTTTTGAGGAATGGTTTTTTAATCTAGGTTTGTCTACATAAGACAATTTTAAGTAGGTACATAACTTTTACCATTTAGGGTGTAATCTGCAGAACAAGGGCAACATTTATAACAGTGTTATTTCCTATTCCTTCCCCCACCAATACTTCTCTCCATACCGGAAATGAATGCCCTCCAGCTTGGAAGGAAAGAGACACGACTTACTATGGTACTGCTGAAGGCCACTGGAGACTGGGCATTCTCACATCTCCCCACAGACCTGTGCCGAGTGTGACTCTGGAAATGGGCACGGGCACTCTGGCTCCTTTTCAGGGATTTGACTCCTCCTGGGCATCTCACTGTGCCGAGGCCTGGCAAGGCCCCATACTGACATTTGGTCCAGTCCTCCTCATCTGAATCCAGCTCCCTCTGAGTCTCCAGGCGTTTGGCTGTGAAAAGTGCCCCATTACTAACATGGTTAGAAAATGTCATTATAGAAACATAGTGAGTTAAATCAATCACCCTGGAACCTATGCTCTGGGGACTGGGGACCTGAAGCTGTAAAGTAATAAATAACAATAATTATAATAATAACTAGCATTTAATAGTACTCTACAAATATCTCATTTTATCATCACGACAACTTTGGGAGTTTTACAGATGAAGAAATTGAGGCTAAAAAAAGCTAAATGAGTTTTCCAGAGTTACACAGCTAGTAAGTTTCTGAGGCTGGATTTGAACTCGTATCTTCCTGATTCTAGGTCCAACATACTATCCACTGCTCCACCTTTCTGATTGAGGTTGGTAATAGGGGCAGGGAAAAGAGGGAGGTAGTTCTACCAGCTGATATAAAAAAAACCAGCAACAATAAAGAAACAAACCACAATAACAACACCTCACAATTTATTGTTTTAAGGCATTAGTGGATAGAGAGCTGGCCTCAGAGCTAGGAAGATATGGGTTTGAGTCCTGCTGCTGCTGCCAAGTGACTGTGGGACCCTGAGCAAGTCACAACCTCTTGGGGCATTAGGAATCTTTCTAAGACCATGTTACAGAGGAAGTGTTGACCTGCATCAACAAAAGGAGTTCCTCATCTGGTAGTTCACCATATTAATGAAATTACAGGTCCAGTCCCAATCCTTAGTGAAGGTTGGCTAAGTATTTTTCTCACAATAACCTCTTGAGATAGATAATACAAGTATTATCACCTCTGCTTTAGAAATGAAGAAACTGAGGTTGAGTGGACAGTTACCTGTTCAAGGTCATACAGCTGGAGATTCAAACCAAAGTTTCTTGACTCCAAGTTCAGTACTCTTTTTCACTCAAACATGCTGCTTTTAGGTCTAAGGCCGAGAGGCAGCTGATGGTGCACTGGACAAAGTGCTGGGCCTGGAGTTAGGAAGATCTGAGTTCAAATCTGCTTTTATATACTTCCTAGCTGTATGATCTTAGACAAGTCATTCAACCCCTGTTTGCCTCAGTTTCCTCAACTGTAAAATGGAGATAATAATAGCATGTATCTCGCAGGGTTGTTGTAAGGCTCAGATGAGAAAATATTTGTGAAGGTGCTTAGTTCAGGGCCTGGCACCTTACTAGGTCCTATATAAACGCTTATTCACTTTCCCTTTCCCCTTTCTCTCATTCCTCCTTTTCTAAGAATCCAAGGTGCTTATGGTATACAACCATCCTACTATCAGCGAGGTAATAGAGGTTGGATAGGAGTTAAGTTACTATCAATAATGCCCCCTCTCCCCCTTCTCTGACTTCTCAGTGTTGCCCTGTATGCTCATCATGCTCCACCTTTTCTTATAGTTCTATACATGTTCTTATTTTCCCTAACCAGACTGTAATCTCCATGAGGGTAGGAATGATGTCTTATTATTAGAATCATGGGACCACTGATTTAGAGCTGGAAGGGTCCTTTGATGCCATCAATTACAGCATCTTCATGTTACAGATGCTGATCCTGAGGCCCAGGGAGTTTAGCTGATTTGCAAGGTAAGGCTGTTATCCCCACCCCCCAGGAGAGTCCTCAGTTCAAGTGAGTAAAAAACCCTATTAGTTTACTAAGTATGAATATTTATAATCAATAAATACAAAAAAAAAACCCAGAGAGGTCAAGCAATTTGATAACTGTCATTCTGCACTAGAGAGAGTTTAGATAAGTCCCCTCTGCTCTTATCACCTTAAGCATGTTGGACTTCTTGTCTTGCATTTGTCTTACACCTATTTTCTTTTAGAAAGATGAAAGCTACAGTTTATTTTAGCATCTCTTACCATTTTCTTGGTGGGAAAACTCATTGCCCATAATGGTACAACGCCGGAATACCATTTTGTTCTCTGTCAGAGTTCCGGTTTTGTCTGAGAAGATGTATTGAATCTGGCCCAGGTCTTCAGTGATGTTAAGGGCTCGGCACTGAATGGATAGATCGACTTCTTCATCGTACAGGTCAATGTCATTGTGTAGGAAGTAAACTTGACCAAGTTTCACCAATTCAATGGATACATACAGAGAGACTGGGATCAGGGTCTGAAAAGAGAACACGCCCTTTATGTAATAATTATTGCTTCTTCCCTCTGCTACTTGCTAGTAAAGGGATTTTGAATCAATGAGAAGGAATAGTGTTGTCATTATGATATGTAATTTTAGCTAAGAGGGTACTCCTTATATATGGTGGTTTCAATCCCATGGTGCATTTTTCTATGGTGCAACAGGCATAGAGTCGTCAGCAATAATCTCTTAATTTCCAGATCCAATATTCTTTTCTCATTCTTCATCCTTCTTGACCTTCTGCAGCATTTGAGACTATTGACTACCCTTTTGGCCTAGATACTCTCTTTTATTTTTTTTTGTGATGATGCTTTCTCTCTTAGTCTCCTTTTCTGGATCATTTTCTACATCCTACCCTGCTGTGCATGGGTAGACCCCAGAACTCTCTCCTGGGCCCTCTTTTCTCCTCTTTATATACTCTTTCTGGGGCCTGACTATGCTATTTCCCCACCCAGAAACAACAGTGCTTACGTCTCTAGGATGAAACATCAGTGCTTCTGTTTGTATTTACATCTTTCATAACCTGATTCCAGCCTGCCTTTTCAAGATTTTTGAGCATTATTCTCATTCAGGGACTCTGTGTTTCAACCCAGCTGGCCTTCTGGCTCTTCCTCAAGCACGATCTTCTTCCTCCCATCTTTGGACCTTTGCCCTGAATGTTCCCCACATATAGAAAGCAGTCTCTCCTCTGAGAAGCCTAGCTCAAGTACTACATCTCATATGAAACCTATTGTGCTCCCTCTGGTTGCTAGTTTCTTATACTCTTCCTTCCAAAAGTCACTTTGTATTTATTCTTTGTTTTCATTACTAGACTAGACTAGTCTCTACTAACATCCAATAGAATATATACTCCTTGAGGGTAGAAACGATTTCATTTTTGTCTTTGCATCTGGCAAATAGTAGAAGCTTAATAAATGCTTATTGAATGAATGAGAGGAGAATGATGCTCCCTCCCCTTGGTTAAAAATCATACCTTCATCTTGAAGGATGCTCCCAAACAGTAACTAGATCCACTAGAGAGAAGAAAGTGACAAAAAATGGTATAGAAACCTGGAAGAAAACTCCCTAGAAAAGACACTGGGGTCTTATAAAGGTACCTTTTTATTAATTATGTATCATGGAACCATTTAAAACCAGAATAGGAAAGAACATTAGAGGTTATCTGACTTAGCTCTCTCCCCCCACCCCAACCCCATGCTTTGTGGGAGAACTGGAGAGAGGTAGTTTGCTCGGCCAAGGTCACATAGCCTATTAGTGGTAAAATAGGCCAAGAACCAAGTCTCTGGTGCTTTTTCTACTACATCTTATATTCTATTCTCTTACATAATGGAGATAGTAATGAGAAAATCACATGGTAGTTTTTTTTCCTTTTAGTTCATTAATGACTGTCTGAACCTATCCTTTACTTTTCACATCCTTCAAGAACCCAGGGTCATTTCTACTTCACAATAAAGTGTCCAACTAGGACTCTAGTGGAACTCTGGGGGCAAAACACTTTCACATAAAGTATTTTCTTTCCTGTAAACATCATGTGCCTGATAAGTATTTAGCCTTCTTATCCTGAGGGCAGCATAATACAGTTGAAAGGGTACTTAGTGGTTTTAGGATCAGAGGATGACAGCCTAAATTCTACTTCTGACACTACCTATATGACTTTGGGGAAGCCATTTAATTTTCCTGGGCCTCTGTTCACCTCTAAAATGAAGAGATTGGAGTAGATCATGAATTCTTAACCTGGGGTCTGTGAATAGATTTCATGCGGTCCATGACCTTTTATGGGAAAAAAAAATAACATCTTTATTTTCACTAGCCTCCAACTGAAATTTAACATTTCCTTTAATTATTTAAAAACATTATTCTGAGAAGGAATTATTAGGCTTCACCAGGCTGCTCAAGGGGTCCAGGATACCCAAAAAAGTTAAGAACCACTGGACTAGATGACCTCTGAGGTCCCTTCCATCTTAAAATTTATGCTGCAATGGATTAGAGTGGGATTTATTTCTTTTTTAATGAAGTCCTAATTTTATATAATATCATATTCCTTTTACTTTGTTCAACAAGTCTTTATTGAGATTTTCCTCTGTGCTTAGCCCTCTCCTGCATACTGTGGGGAGATCCAAGAAAAATAGAAGGAGAAGTGTTTAGCAGATAGTAAAAGGTGAATAAATGCTTTTTGACTGACTGACTGACTGGCCGTAAGGCACAATTCTTATCTCTGAGGTGCTTAAAATTAGTTAGAGTCAAGATTTATACAAAATAAATTGATAACAATATAAATCGATGCAGTTTCTCCAAGGAGAAATATTTGAGCACTCCACATTTGGAATCATATGGTTCCCAAACTAGTTGTCCCATAGACATCTTAGACTCAACATGTCTAAAACTGAACTTAGCATTTTGTCCTGAAAAGTCTTCACCATTATGAACTTTCCTATTATTGTCAAGGGCACTACCATCTTCCCAGTCATCCATGTTGGCAACCTGGATGTTATCCTTGACTCCTCACTCTTTCACTCCCTTCCCCCTTCCAATATCCACTCTGTTGCCAGGTTCTGTTAATTAAACCTTTGTAACATCCCTCATAAATGTACCCTTCTTTTCACTTAGGTAGGCCCTTATCACCTCATGCCTGGACTATTACTATTAGAATTGATAGTAATAATGACCAATTACTATTGATCTCATCATGACAAGTCTCCAGTCCAGTCCATCCTCCACTCAAGTACCAAAATGATTTTCCTAAAGCACAAGTCTTACCATGTCACCCTCCTACTCAATAAACTCCAGCGGCTCACTATTACCTCCATGATCAAATGTAAAATCTGGTTTGGCATTCAAAGCTTTTTATGACCTGGTCCCCTTCTACCTTTCCGGTCTTCTTACATCCTATCAACCCCATGTATTATATGGTCTGGTGATACTGGCCTTCTTGCTCTTCCTTGAGCAAGACATTCCATCTTTTGACTGGAGGCATTTTCGCTAGCTGTCCCCCATGCCTGGAATGCTCTCTTACCGCATCTCCACATCCTGGCTCCCTAGCTTCCTTCAAATTTCAGCTGAAATCTCATCTTCTATGAGAAGGCTTTCCAGATCCCCCTAATTCTTATACCTTCCCTCCATCTATTTCCAACTTATCCTTTACATATCTTGTACAGTAGTACAAAGAGTTGTTTGCATATCATCTATCCCTTTTGATTGCAAACTCCATAAAGGCAGGAACCATCTTTTGCTTTTATTTGTATCCCCAGAACTTATCATAGTGCCTGGCACATAGTAGGTGCTTAGTAAATGCTTATTGACTTTCTTAAATTTAATCTAAATCTTTCCTGCAACGAAGCATCTTATTTCTTCTGCAAAGGTGTAGAATGATTAGCTGTTGGTATTTTAAGCTTTTAGTTTTTTACCTGCAGTAGGATGATCAGGGTGAGAAACATGTAGAAGCCCTGAAGTCCAATTGAGGGGAAGCTTCCATTAGCATCTGGAACATCAAAAGGGGGAATTTCTGAAAACGTTCTCTTCCAAAGGCTGTGACCTAAGAAGACATAAAATCAGGAGATAAGGTAGAATCCCAACTTGGTTCCAAAGTATCAACTCCATTTGCATTCAACTTATCACAGAAGTGTGTGAATTGTTCCTCTTATAAAATGATCTTAGGGACAGGTTTTCAATTGCTATACTTGCCTATGGATTTGTGGACCCCATAATAACTGCATTATTGGACTGATAGAAAAAAAAGACAAACTATAATGTGTTTTTCTCATAATCATCTCTCTGATGCCATTAAACAGAATGTATGGTGTAGTGAAAATAACACTGGAGATTTAGTTTCTAGTCGTAGTTTTGCCATTAACAAGCCATGTGGTCTTGGCTGGGCAACTCACTTCCCCTCTCTTGTCATTAGCCACAAAAGGAAGGTGCTAAATCCGATAATCTCTAAGGTTCCTTTCTGGTCTGACGTATAAGGGTCTACAATGTAAAACGAAAGAAACTTGGGGCTTCATTATCTAGGCCTCACTATCTGTGCTTCACCATCATTCTCATCCCCCATGTATCTCCCCTTTCCTTGGACTTTGCCCCAGGACAATGGATTCTGAGCAAGCCTCCAAATCATCTCTTGACAACCATTTCCAAATTATGTCACAGGGCATATTCCCCCTTCCCTGTATTCCAGCCACTTTTCCTTTTACTTACTGTCTTTCCTCATTAGAATGTAGCCTCTTGAAGGGCCAGGAACTTTTACTTGCTTGTATTTGTATCCCCAGGATTTAGCACATTGGTATACAGTGAAGACTAAATAAATGCTTGCTTGTTCTATCTATCTATCTATCTATCTATCTATCTATCTATCTATCTATCT